ACTTTTTTTTCGGAAACAAATACTTGTGCAATAAAAAATCTATAAAAGGTAAAAAAAATTCGAAAAATAATTTTTTCTGTCACTTTTCCAGGATCTTAACCTCCACGCATTCCGAAATAAAGTTTAACTAAAAATAATTGTGATTTTTAATTTGTGTGCTCCCCTCTTTATATAATATATAAAATACAAATTTTTAAGTGTTGAGAAAAAAGTTCAACGAAATTGTTTKTGTGCTGCTAAATATGTGATAATGRATGTGATTTTCATTAAATTCCATATAAGAAAGTTATTGTCACTACAGAAGAAGGAATTGTGGATTTTAACTTTTTTGCAAGTGGTGAGTTTAGACAATAAAATACTTACTAATATTTGTAGGTTATGAACAAGGAAAATGTAGAATTTTTAAACCATTTGAACGGCCTTATAAATTTGTGATTAGAAGGGTGATTTTTTAGAGCATAAAACTTATTACAAGCTTTCGTAAAATTKTGACGCTCAAACTAATTTATCAACTTAGTACGAAAAGGTTTATGAATTGACTAAATATACGAACAGGTTTGTGACTCAGCTCCTCATGCTTATCATTTATATATGTATATCATATWTTTTATAGGGTCTCCAACGTTTCCATCATTGTATATTTTAACTTGAATAACGTTAGTAATTCTAACAAGTTTACATATGTAAAAATGGGATACATTTGGCCGCTAAATAAAAAACTATTTCCATCTCTATTTCTATCTCTATCTTTACCTATATCAATATATATATATATCTATAACAATATCTATATCAATATCAATATATGTATATATCTTTATCAATATCTATATCTATATCTCTGCCTCTGCCTCTGCCTCTGCCTCTGCCTCCATCTCTATCTCTATCTATTCATCTCCATTTCCATCTATCCATCTCTATCACTATCAATACCTTTCTTTCTATCTTTTTGTCAGTATCTTTCTCAATCCCATCTCTATTTACATCCCTACCASGTTCGCTCTTAATCTTAAAACAATTAAATCCAATTGGCAGGAATACTAAATAATTCAAACTACCTGCCTTKCACTATATTTTCAGCTTCACACAATACCCACATTTCTATAGGTTTTACCCATCAGTTGACTGTTTCTATCCAATGACCGTAAGCCATAAGCTCAAATAATGTACTCTGATGACCATTTTTTTTAAAATATTTTATTATCTTTAAGCCAATAATATCATAGTATACCACTGCAAGCGTTCAAAATAAGTAATTTGTCGTTAATGTGGATTAAAGATKTAATTACTTTTAAATACTTGCATACTAACATTTTGTTCATTCATGCATTTAATGCGACAACCAATTTTCACCTCCAACACCTCGCACTGCAATTACTTTAAAACAATTAATTTTATAATTGTCAACCATTTTATGCATTTTACACGGCAACAAATACAAGTATATATGCGAAAGTAAAGTAAATAGCAAATATCATTATGGGTGCCGCGGTTGCCAATGGTTTATTAGATTGAAAAAAGCACATTCGAACTMAAAAGCAAATGGAAAAATTAATGTAATCCCCATTGCGGTTGAATATTTATGAGGGACCCGCTACATATCTGTGCATCTAGCATACAACACAGAGGTGCTGACACTACAGTGTATCGTGATTTTATGATAATTCGTGAACGCAACAAGTTTGGCATGCGCTGTGCATGCGATTAAACGTGCGCGGCATAAGGCTATGTGCATAGTGGAGCGATGAAGAGTGATAAGGTAAAGAAAGTACAGAAGAGGGCTGTTTGGTGGGCAGAACGTGCTAATAAAGAAAGAGTAAAGGGAGTAGATCACTATAAACAGATGGAATTTATGTAAGGGTCTAGTTATAGCTGTTGAGGACGAATATGTTAAACAAAGCTTGCATTTTTGATGGTAATATTGAAGTATTGACGGCCTCCATTTTTTTTAGAGACCGAATTTTCACATTTCGGTTTATATTTTGGGCTTAACACTTTTTTTTCGTTTTGAGGTTATGTCAAAAAATTTGAGAAAAAGTGATTTAAAGGATTTCAAATTATCACTGCAAATGTTGGCAATGACTTTGACAGTTAGTTTGACAGCTGTCTCTGTAAGAAATTCTATAATTTGACAGCTTTCACCCAAATATCTACTTTGACAGCTGTCCTTCTAAGAGATTATATATTTACACACCAGATTTAGCTGCCGCCCCTCTAGAAAATTCCATACTTTGACAGTTAGTTTAACGCTCTAATAAATTTACAATATGATAGCTTTCTCTACAGTGTTTTTTTTTTTGTACTTTGGGAGCTAGTTTAAGAAATTTCCTCGAATTGTAACATTTACCACGATTGAGTCTTTGTATGCCAAATTTCAAAAGCATACCGAACATAAATGTCAAACCAAAGTATCTACTTTGACTGTTAGTTCGACTGYTAGTTTCACAACTGTCCCTCTAAGAAGTATATGTATATTTACACAGGTTTATYATCATTTCCTCAGAGAAATTCTATACTTTGGCTGGTAGTTTGACAGCTGTCCCTCTAAGAATTCTACAATTTAAGAGCTGCACCTCTAAGAATTTCTTCTTTGAGAGCYATCTCTCTCGGAATTTATAGCTGAATAGATTTTACACAAAGAAGTTAGATACTTTGACAGCTGATCAGTTGGTTTGACAGCTATCCCTCTAGGAAATTGTATACTTTGTCACCTATCCCTTTTCAAAAAATTTGATTCTTTGACAGCTGGCTTCACAATTAAGCCTCTAGGAAATTCCATATTCTTTTTAGCTGGTTCGACAAATATCCCTCTAGGATTTTTTGCGCCGATAAGTGGCTAGGACCTTAACTTGCCACATCTTTCCTCAACATTTTACTGTGCACTTAGCCTTARGCACTCACTCTTTCTCTCTCATTATTAGTATTTGYTTTTCTTGCTGCGCTTGCTCAGCTSCTTTTCGCCCCACCACCATATCGGCAATGTAATAAATTTATAAATTTATTTCACTATTAATCTAATTGAATAATTATTTTTTTATTGGCTTTGAATTAAACACGAAGCGCTAACGCCKTGGCGCGCAAAGGCTCGAGCGCGGGAGACGTCGGCAGGTGTGGCTAAGCTGGAATTTCTGATGACATTTACGACTGCACAACGCGCTAGTTCATTAAGCGCCAAGTGCTATTAGCTTTTAATGTTGAAGCAATAAGCTTTAGCTTGGCTTACAACAGCCCAGSGGCGGCTTGGTGGTGGTCCCCAGGCGCATTAAAGTAGGAATGCCATAAATTGCTTTGACATTACAAATATTTACATTGTATAATTAATATCGTGCATATGCGAATACAGCAACAACAACAGACAGTGTGCATTTATGTAAGCGCATTAGGTTTAGTTTATTTGTGTGTTTGCTTTTGTTTTTGTTTTTATAAATTATTTAATTATCGACAATTAATGCTGATAACTGTATAATTTGCTCAACATTTTTCCATTGCAGTGTTAAATTGTGTGTGAATACCCTTTGGAGGTGGTTGGCTGTAGTCGAAGTGCAGTAGAGCATCAGCAGTAGCAGCAGAAAAATTACAACAACAACAGCAACAAAAAGTATAAAATATATGCTTATTATTAATTATAAATATCACTACACGAATAAACAAGCGCATGCAAGTGTAGTCCAAAACATACATACAAACATATGTAGTATGTCAGGCTGTGTGCGCGTGTGTTAGTGATAAATGAATGGAGCAATAAATTTAAAAGTTCAATTGATTTCACATTCAGCAACAACGGCGGTTGTCACCATTTAGCCACGCTGTCAAGCTGTCAACATTGTCAAGTGCCTGAACGTTGTCATACATATACATATGTATGTAAGTGTATAGTGTTTGTGTAATTGCGCGCGAGATGTCAAAGTGCCACTGACAGGGGTCATTGTTGAGTGACTCAGCAGTAAATTAAGAAAATTTATAAGAAAAGTGTGGAATGTAAACATTTTTTGAAAATTAAAAAAATAAATTTC